TATATATATATATATATATATATATATATATATATATATATATATATATATATATATATATACACATATAAATTAAAATGAAAAATCTAAAAACTAATTCAAAATATTGATAAAAATTAAAAAAAATAAAATAATGGATTTGTCATGGTATGAACCCTTGTAAAATGAAAACAAGATATTTATAAAAAAGTTTTATAATTAATTATAAACCCTACTCGGACATAAAGCCCAGGTTATTGTTGGGCCTGGAGTGGAGTGGGGTCACGGATCTGCTCTTGTTGGCCGTTGTGTCTCTGTGTGAGTTTTGTACTCTTGTATTTCAGACAGACGCTGATGAAGAGCGACTTCCAGTCACGAGGAAAACACTGTTTCCTCTCTTTCACTCTCAGAGGAGCTTCACGCGCAGCTCCTCTGAGAGAGAGCGTCCCCTAGTGGCCACACCAATGGTACACATGAGTCTCACACCTACAGTCCTATGGGGTTAGATCTCTGCCACAATTCTGCGCGCGAAAGATCATATTTGGAGCGCACAAAAGTGCATTTTGCACGCACGCGATCTGAGTTTTGTGGAGAAAATGTTCGTCTCGCAAAGAAGAAAGTACTTAGAGCACACGAAAATCAATTTCGCATTTAAAATACGTTTTTATATTTGTGCAGACCTTCTCTTTTGCGCGTGCAACGTTTCACTAGCTTGCTCACCTGATGCCCGCCCTCAGTGCTCGCTAAATGCCAACAGCTCGCGTGCTCAACACAACCCAGCGTTACAATATGCCATAATTCCAGCCAATCAGAGACGAAGCTGCTAAATTCTGATTGGCTGCCTTGACAACCAATCACAACATTCCTTGCATTACTGATGACATTGGAAGAGGGAAAATACAGTGTATGCATAATTATTATGCCGATATTCTGATTATATTTGGTGAACTCCCAAAAGTTACTGCCAGATTCTGAAAGATAAATTCTTCAAACAGTGGTACAAGAGGATGTGGTGCTGGTCCTTCAAGAGTCACTCACAACTTATCTGTCTATAAAGCCTATATATTTTTTTAAAAATCAGTCTTCAAGTATTTTACTACACTTCAGTATATGATTCTTATTAAGTAGGGGTCATTTTTTTTAGGATTCTATACTTAACCTAAGTCTCTGAGAACCTGACACCTTGTACTTCTGGAGACTCCAGGTAGATTGCAGTTCTGGAAAATGGTGGCGCTGGAGACTAACTGGTTCCTGGTGATTTCACACCTAATTCTTCACTTTAACTCCTAATTCTTTTGCAGTTAGCATGCATCTTTTCTTCACTACTTGTTTTTGACTGACCCTGCTGACCCACTGAGCATTTTGCTGTCCAGTGGTTATGCATTAACTTTGCAATTTCTAGTATTGTATTAGTTTTTAATATTTCTCATGGGCAATTAATAATTTTGACTTTCAGTCTGAGTTAAATCTCTTTTTTAGCTCATTTTATCTGTAAAAGAAAATCTGCTTAATAATTCTGCACACCTGAATATAAGACATTGTTCACTTCCAGCCTTCATGAATAATTATATATCAATTATAAATGATTAAATACAAGATTAATAATAGTTAAGATTGATGTCATTTGGAATTGGTAAAATGTGCTTGGAAAAAAATATGATCAGAATATCAACTTGCATAATAATTATGCATGCACTGTATTTTCCCTCTTCCAATGTCATCAGTAATGCAAGGAATGTAGTGATTGGTTGTCAAGGCAGCCAATCAGAATTTAGAAACCTCGTCTCTGATTGGCTGGAATTATAGCATATTGTAACGCTGGGTTGTGTTAAGCAAGCAAGCCGTTGGCAGTTATTAATAGTGCATTTGTGTGGTTACAGCTCAATATGTTATATAATCAAAAGAGTCCGTTTGGGATTTTTATAAATAATGCATTAAAATGCATAGAAATAAATTATATATAAATTTAAATAAATTTTATATATAAAAAGATTCTATTTTTATTTTTTATGAATCATGCTCTAAATTATATATAAATTATGTAAATTATATAAAAAGATTCCGTTTTTGATTTTTATAAATTCTGTATTAAATTGCATATAAATAAATTGTGTAAAATATACAAAAATATTTAAATTATATAAAAATATTCTGTTTTTGATTTTTATAAATTCTGTATTAAATTGCATATAAATAAATTGTGTAAAATATACAAAAATATTTAAATTATATAAAAATATTCTGTTTTTGATTTTTATAAATTCTGTATTAAATTGCATATAAATAAATTGTGTAAAATATACAAAAATATTTAAATTATATAAAAATATTCTGTTTTTGATTTTTATAAATTCTGTATTAAATTGCATATAAATAAATTGTGTAAAATATACAAAAATATTTAAATTATATAAAAATATTCTGTTTTTGATTTTTATAAATTCTGTATTAAATTGCATATAAATAAATTGTGTAAAATATAAAAAGAATTAAATTATATAAAAAGATTCAGTTTTTGATTTTTTATAAATTATGCTTTAAATTACATATAAATAAATTGTGTAAAATATCAAAAAAATATTTAAATTATATAAAAAGATTCTGTTTTTGATTTTTATAAGTTCTGTATTAAATTGCATATAAATTGTGTAAAAATAAAAAAATAATTAAATTATATAAAAAGATTCAGTTTTTGATTTTTATAAATTCTTTATTAAATTGCATATAAATTGTGTAAAATATATAAAAAAATTAAATTATATAAGATTCAGTTTTTGATTTTTTTATAAATTATGCTTTAAATTACATATAAATACATTTTATAAAATATAAAAAAATGTATATTATATAAAAAGATTCAGTTATTGATTTTTATGAATTTTGTTTTAAATGACATAAAAAAGTAAATTATATATAAATGATCTGAAAACAATGCAGTGAACATTTTGTGCTGTGGAAATGTCTGATATTATGTTTTCCATCAGTTTTATTTATGCAGTTGTTCTCTCTGTACTCTCAGCCTCTGAAGTCTCTGCGGAAGCTTCTTCATCTCACCACCACCTCGTCCTCGTCCTCTAACCAAACCTCGGCAGATCTCCACTACCCCCTGCCCTCCTCCAAAGGCTGCGGGAGTTTCGTGGAGTCCCGCGGCCTTGGCTCCATGCAGCCCAAGGGCCGTTCGGCTGCGTATGGGGCCCCGGGGCCCCTGGAGTCCAGCTGGCACTCCAGCGCTCTGGGCCGTCCCGAGGGAAACCCGTATCCCGACCAGCTGACCTCCAAAACGGGCCCCAACGGCTTCGCTCGCCACTTTCGTTCACGTTTGCCAAACCTGAATGACCTTAAAGAGACGGCGCTGTGAGTCGGACTCACGGCGGCCCCTGATGGGCTTTCTTTTCTTGCGTATTAAGGGTAGACCTATATGTCTTTTCTTTTTTAGTTTTTAATATTTGATGGCACTTCTTATATTATTTATGTACTGTAATTACTGTATTTTTTTGTTATCGGATAATACAGTTTAAAAGCAGATGATATAGCTCTATGTAAATGGGAATATATAAATGTATGGCTTTAGTTTCTACTCTGGTTGTAGTATATAAACATTATCTGATTCTGCATAGTTACTCTTATATCTGGCTAAAGGTTCTAATGATTCATGTATAGATGACAGTATTGACATTTATTTTATAGTAATAGAATAAGACTGTGATATATACCGTATAGACATTACAACTTTGTCTTTGAGTATTTTCTGTTCACAATTCAGTGAATATCAGTAGATATTAAGAGTAACAGTAACATTAACGGTAAGAATGCGTGATTTTATGTGCGTGTGCTTCCCAGATAGCGCACGTATGTTGCTTTAAATGTCATATTTATGCATAAATTAATTCTTAAATGTTGTGGATGTCATTCTAACACATAACAGGGACGACAAACACTAGCAAATAATTCAGATTTTGAAAGAAGTCTCTTCTGCTCACCGAAGCTGCATTTATTTGATTAAAAATGCAGTAAAAACAGTAAAATTGTGAAATATTTTTACAATTTAAGGTAATGTGAATTTCTATGTGAATATCTGTTAAACTTTAATTTATTTCTGTGATCAAATCTGTATTTTCAGCATCATTACTCCAGTCTTCAGTGTCACGTGATCTTCAGAAATCATTCTAATGATTCAAGAAACATTTCTGATTATTATCAATGTTGAAAACAGTTGTGCTGCACAATATTTGTGTGGAAACTGTGATACAGTACCATTAAAAAGTTTGAGGTAAAAGTTAAAAAAATAAATATATATATATACTTTTATTCAGCAAGGATGCATTAAATTAATCAAAAGTGATAGCAAAAACATTTCTAATGGTACAAATGTCATCAAAGAATCCTGAAAAAAAGAGTACCGATAATATTTATTAATAACTGAGCAGATGATGATCTGAAGGATGAATGATTTCTGAAGATCATGTGACACTGAAGACTGGAGTAATGATGCTGAAAATACAGCTTTGATCACAGAAATAAATTATATTTCACAATATATTCACATAGAAAACAGTTATTTTAAATTGTAAAAATATTTCATAATATTACTGCTTTTACGGCATTTTTAATCAAATAAATGCAGCCTTCGTGAGCAGAAGAGACTTTAAAATCATAATTATTCCCAACATCTGACCCGTAGTGTACTGCAGATGATAAAGGGTCTAAATATGTCCGAAAAAAAGTCGCGACAGCATACGTGCGCTATCTGGGTTTTGTGTGGGTCTTCTGTTAGTCTTTACAAATCACAGCCAGTGTAATTTCTTAAGCCTTTTAAATGACATTTGAAGCAAAAACATCAACCAAATCTGACCAAATCATATGAAATGGTGTGGCTCCACCTGCTGCCCATTGAGATCCACTGCAAAAAACCAACAAAAAAAGTCAGAGTATATGATGCCTTTTTTATTTTTAAAGCAAGATTACTTTTTACTATATCCTATCAGTCTTTGATTCCCTCAGGTATAGAGTTCTTTGAATACTGCAGATACAGTTTTACATGCAATATCTGGATATCAGATGTCGAAGCTCTTTAGATCGTTTCATGTTTCTGTTTAGGGAAATAGAGCCAGTGTGTGTATACACGAGGAGGAGAAATAATAAGAATAATAATTTATTAATTTTATGCAATATGTAATTTCACATTCGCCAGAGAATCTTCTAAATAAAGCTCAAGGTACCTGGAGGCGTTTTGTTTCCTCTCCGCTGGTTTTTACTCGTTTGCGCTTTAATAATTCATATGTCAGTCGGGTACACGAGATGTCAAACGCCAGGATTTCCTGGAAAACCTTTAGTTTCAGAGATATCTAGGGAATTATCCTCAAATCATCTCGATTATCGTTCATAAACTGGTCAATTAGCCGCTTATCCATAACTGCGGTCCTTGTGTCTGAAGTTTATTCATCAGTCTCTTCAACTGCCACAAAGCCACTAGAAGGCAAAGCCTGCAACCATTAGCCGAAAAAGCGTAACGGCTAAAGCTAACGCTTCCGGTCTGGCAATGCGTGGGAAAGGAGACCAGAGGCCGTTTTTTTTAAAGGCAGAGTAAGTGATTTCTGGTAGCCAATGTTGATATTTGAAATCACCAAAACAAACACATCCCTACCCCAAAAGGGTCTTGCCCCTATTTTGTTAGCTGCGCCCCACACATACGTACGCAACCCAAGCAACGATTAGTTCTGTGAAACAAAGCAAAGCCAATGTTACACCGTGTCTACGGACGTGAGCGGTGCGGCGCAACAAATCCCCGACAGAAAACTGCTGCCGGGTTTTATTTATGACATGCTGACACAAATTTCGTGTCTACTCTCTCCTCCACATCACGAGTAGACACGCCCCTTATTGCTGATTGGCTACAAGTTTGTTTTGCGATTCGGCCCGAATCAAGTGTTTTTGAAAAATCACATACCCTGCCTTTAATGGACGTCAATGGAGGAGAGGCTTCACTATGCTGAATAAACAGCTTTTTAGAGGAAACGGCTTATCATTTAATGATTCAACAGCCTATCTGCTAATCTTCAACATGTTTTACACTAAGCAGTACTTTTGGATTGAGCTATTTTTAGAGTTTACCATGAAAAAAATGCCATTTTATAAGAGAAGTCACTGACTTTTTGCGACAGGTGGTATTCAGTGTACGGCACTTCCCATTCATTCCTGATATCCATAAACGGCAATTGAGTGTCGTACAACTATCATAAGTTTTAAAGGTTTTTATTGGCAAAAAATATATAATGAGTCAATATTTACAGTGTTGACCCTTGTTCTTCATAACCTCTGCAAGTGACTCTGGCATGCTGAATTTAGCTTCTGGGCCAAATCCTGACTGATGATGATCCATTCTTGCCTTATTAGTTCTCAGAGTTGATCACAATTTGTGGGCTTCTGCTTGTCCACTCACTGTTTGAGGACTGATGCTGCGTTCAAGTCCTCCTGGGACATTCGTACTTACGAGTTGACAAGTCGTAATTACAACGTCAGGTGCGTTCAAGTCCGTTTAGTCGGCACAAGATGGCGGTGTACCTTCTTTTAATAAATTACAAGAAAATACAACAGGGTCTGTTAACTCTGCTTATAGAAAATGAATGAATGAATTCGCATCAGGTGTGCTTTGCGTTTTTAATATTTTTTTTAGAGCAGGATCCCAGTATAACTGATTTTCAGCATCAACAAACGCTAAAATACAGAGATTAAAAAAAGCTGTTAGCTAAATGCAACATGCAACATGGCAAATCAAAAGATTTTTCACCTATAGGTGCAAAAATGATAGCAATTTTTTTACTTGAATTTCATTAACTAGCTGTGTAACAAGAACATGACCAATTTAAGTTTATAGGACAACTAAACTATCAATTTAAACAAAAATTTACCGTCAACTACAGACATTGCATCCATCGATTCTGCCATGTTTTTCATTGACACGCACCCAACTCGGAAACTTGGGGATTCAAGAAAATTTTGAGTTTCTCACTCGTAATAACGACTTTGTATTTACGAGTTGAAGGCACATGAACGCCACCACAATCTATCCGACATGACTTGAACGCACCATCAGATTGAAATTCAGTGACATCAAGGCTGTAATGTGATTGGTTATTAAGGGACACGTGATCCAAGTTAGCCATTACGCTTTCTCCAATAGTAAGTAATACAGACCCTCTCATCTCCTAATAGTAAGATAATCTCTGACTGCCACACGATTCATATGGCAGGAATAAGATGATGGGTGGTGTTTTACTCTATAATCATGTGCTCTTCGGCTGCAGTGAGGAGTTGAGATGCTTATGAGCTCATTTAAATAACCATGAGACTGTATTTTATTTTTTAATCCATGAATTAAAAATGTTTTTGAAAATGTCTTTAAAAAACAATGTACACTATAGAGCAACTGCTAGCATTGCATAGAATCGTTTGTTTTACTAGTAAACATCTTTATTTACCATTGAACAATTGCGAAGCTAATTTTAGCATTGCTTATCTGCTACAACCTTGATGTCTGCACATGCTAAAGCTTGTTAGCGTGTCTTATTTGAAATAACTTATTTCAGTATCAATAGCAGTTAATAGGTCGGCACATCCTGTCATCCCTTCAAAAACATTCCCCTAACGTTCCCGTATGGTTCTCGTTTGGTTATTTATTTTGGAAGCCATATAAGAACATTCTTGGAACCGAAAATTACCTTCTCAGGTAATTTCTCATTTCCTTTTTTTTTTTTTTTTTTGATAATAATCAAAAGAAACCTTATATGAAACATGCTTTTTAAAGGTTATTTTTAGGTTTTACTTAAACAAACAAAAATATAAACAACAAAAATACCTAACCTTCCCAGAATGTTGCAGCAAAGTTTTTTTTGTTTTGCTTTTGATAACTTACAGAACAATAAAGAATGTTTGTAAATGGTTATCACTGGGTTTTATTTTTAAAAACAATAAACTAACTTTCCCAGAACATAGGGAGGTTTTTGTAATAACCTGAAGGAAAACTAAACAGAACGTTCTTTAATGGTTATTATTTGGTGTTATTTTACAACCATAAACTAACCTTCCCAGAACCTTCTGATAATCTAAAGAGAACATATATAGAACATTTTGGGAACCAAAAATTGTTAGCTGGACAGTCATTAATTTTAAGACTGGATTTTAGTCTTCAATTTAGTTTTATCCCACATAGCACAGGTATGTCTGCAAGATATCTGTTAAAGATCTCTTCATCTGGAAAGCATCTGCTGTGTACAAACATCTGATAGACGTCTCTAAGATGTCAGTTTTACTTACACTCTAAATCATAAACATCTTAAACACATCTTCTAAACGTCTATTTGACATCTGATAGGAAACGTCTTATAGACGTATTGCAGATGAGCAAACACTCTAAAAAATAAGTCTTGCAGATGTCAAAAAGACATCTCCGTGATGTACGTGTGCTATCAGGGAATGGTTCACATGTTTTCTGACTCAATTATTGAATCAATAGGGAATTTATTCAGTCCTCATTTCAGAAAGCAAAAGAAAAAGCACTGTTCGTTTTTTTGGTAAACTTCACAAAGACCAGCACGTCACTGATAATAAACCAGTCCTCTTGTTTTAGACTAAAAATGGTTATTTCTTTTATTTTGTACATGCAGGAGCTACAGTTATGGTACTAGTGCAAGTTGCCTGTTACCTACTGATCTGAGACCAGTTTCTAGATTATTGCACTTTTGTACCATGGCACCTAAAGCTGTTCTTAACCCGTGACGCATTTGTTCATGCACATGAGCAGCTCCAGGCGGAGGGCGATGCGCGTGTGCCAGCCCAGAGGCAGGATCCGCAGGTACCGCGCCACGATGGGCGGACGCAGCAGGTTCTGGAACGTGGAGGATCGGTCCGTGTTTCCATAAAACACCTGATGGACGAACACAAGCAATAAACATCATTAAATGATGGGAATTCATACCAGTATAAGCACTACTGACTTAACCCAACCTTGTCATCCAAAACATTGAGAAAACAAATTGTCTTATCCCAGATAGCACAGGTACGTCTTCAAGATATCTGTTAAAGATCTCTTCATCTGGAAAGCATCTGCTGTGTACAAACATCTGATAGACGTCTCTAAGATGTCAGTTTTACATACACTCTAAATCATAAACATCTTAAAGACATCTTCTAAACGTCTTTTTGACATCTGGTAGGAAACGTCCTATAGACGTATTGCAGATGAGCAAACACTCATATACAGTCTTGCAGACGTCAAATAGACATCTCTGTGATGGACGTGTGCTATCAGCGATGTAAGTATGCACCCTGTGTGTTTGGACAGGAAACTTCACAGAAATTATGCAATAATGTGGTAAAGTGCTGTTTTAGCACTTAATAGTGATAGTACTCAGGGACTTAAAATAGGGATAGATAGATAGACCATTTTTTTCTGTTTGTTTAACATTTAAGTGCATTTCACACCATAAACGATCAATTTAAAAGGTTATTACTATATTAGGGTCCTCACCAATGTACAAAAGCGTTCCGTTTATTATATGTTGTCTGATGCTATGTTCGCACTCTTTTAAGTCAGATAGATTCTGGTTGGCTGTTGGTTTTATCGTTCATCAGCGGGAAAATAACTAAAAGTGATTCCAGCGATATCATTATAGTTACTTCGCTATTCTCTTAGAATCAGATTGATAATTAAAAGTTAATATTTATAGTTATTGTTATTGTCTTTGGTGTGAATGGCCATTTACGTTCTGCATGTTCGTTAATGGAAGAACAAGTGCAAGTATTAAAACTTGACTGTTACTGAAGGTCTTTTCACTTGGTCAAACATCAGTTTTTTATGATTTTACTGGGAACACCTTTTATTTATTCAGGCTTTTACCCTATTGTTCCCAGTCTGGTCTTTGTAATAGATCCAGTTGAGGTTTTCCTGGGTCCGGTACTGCAGGCTGTATTTCGTTGTCCATTCGTCAGCATCACAGCGGCCCTGACTCAGGATACCCGAGACCACCCGCACCTCCTGGAGGTCGATCTGAAGCCACTGACTCGTGTCCTGGAGTTTGGACAGCCATGCACATCTGCGACGGAGCGAAGAGTCAGTCAGTGTCTGCTTTATTATGACCCCAATCTAGATAAATCAGGCATTGCCCTAGTCATTTTGGCAGTGAAGCCCAAGCTTTGATTTCAGGCTGATTTGGTGCTGATCATTTTAGCTAGAAGGTTTTTCTGAGACACTTACCCAAACCCCTGACTGTTCAGTCGGGCTTTATTTGGGGTCCACGAGGAAAACCAGCCCACGTACTGATCCTGGTTTGAACAGGTAAGCTGCTCCGCCATCATCGATCCGGACTCAAAACCCAGCGGTTTGTGGTAGGGACACTCTGGTTGGAAATGAGGAGCATGGAAACCATCAGGACGTGCCCACCATCTCAAGAACAGCATGCTAAATGTGATTTACACAAGCAGGACCAACATCCACCAGTTTCTGGAACTCAAACTGAAAAACTGTCAACAGGAAGTGAGATATCATCATGTATTGATATGGAGTTACCATGAACCTGGATCCCTCGACAAAAACCCAGTAGGATTTTTCCATTGGCTTTGCAGGATTATTGCAGAAAATAAGCTCTGTGACCAATACAAGTTTATAATTCTTACACATTTTGTCCATCATGATAATCTTCACAACTGAAGCCTAAATACAATCGCCAGATGTAAAAAAGCTAAACGTAGGCCATTAACGAACTGCACCAGGGTCACGTGACTTCAACATCACCACCATTAAGCTTCTGAAACTTAGACACTTGTTAGCAAATGCCTGTTTCAAGACAAATAAAAGCTTTTTGAGGGGTATTACAGATATATTTCATGTTGTAGAATAAAACGTGAAAATAGCTTAATCTTATTTCAGACCTTGTTGGAGGCATTTAACCAGAAATCCATTCGAAAACCCAACAAAATGAACACAAATGCATGCTCTGAATGTCGTTATAGCTCTATTTTATGAGTCTTTTCCAGGTGGTCTGAAGATCAGGTGTCCCGTTGATTGGCACGTGTGGATCTCCAGCTGTTTGTGATGGTGCAGGACAGACGGGCACTATTTCAGGCCCAGTAATCTGGGCAATCACAATCATTAATCATGAGATTATCCACTGGCACTCTCTACCCTCGCTCAAAGTCACTGTTTCTCACTCATTCTCATTCTGATGGTCTCTCATTGTCTCCTACAGACAGTCCTCTAGTACTCTTATTCTGTGTCTTTTAATAATTTGATCATAATACTGCTCTGTCAAACTGAGGTCAGAGGGCGGTGTTTTAGCTGATGCATCATGGAAGATCGTTACTCATGTAATCACTCTAAAGCCTCTTGGCTTCATGCCCTGAATCATTAAGCATGCTCTTCTGAAGGGACCAAGAGATGCTCTCGTCTCTAATCTTCCCACTGACAATTAACGCTGCCGTTCACTGCAAGACCTTGCATGTTTTTGCCATTCAACACCCACACAGGCCAGACAACACTGTTTATGCATGTAAACGCATACAGACAGACATGCATGTTTATCTACTGCTCTGCATGCTTATATTCTCTTATGCACCGATAATCAGCGATCCAATATGTTAAACAAATATTGGGAACAGTAAAGAGGGTTTACTTCGTTCCTGAATGAATCAGTCGTTTTGAAAGAATCGATTGAATAAATGACTTAGCGACTCACTTATGAAGACAGTGGCTTGTCGCCACCTACTGGTCATTTTAGTTTTATATTTAAAAGTATCATTCAAATTTTTTTTCTATCATTTTTTTATTTCTATATTCCAGTTTTGTATTTAAAACATTAATCTCATAACCTTATACAATTTGTAAGTGCAGCGTAAATGCATATACAAGTGCTAGAAATATAAAAATTTAATAATTTAAAAATAAAATTTAACTAGGCCTATACTTGGCTAAAGTGGCTAAAACCATTTATATCAACCATTAATAAACCATATATATATATACTGCTGTTCAAATGTTTGGGATCAGTAAGATTTGTAATGTTTTTCAAAGAAGTATCTTCTGCTCATTATGGCTGCATTTATTTGATCAGAAATACAGATATTCAGAAAAAACAGCAATATTGGGAAATATTATTGCCATTTAAAATAATGGTTTTCTTTTTTATTATACTTTAAATTATAATTTATTCCTATGATCAAAGCTGAATTTTCATCATCATTACTCCAGTCTTCAGTGTCACATGATCTTCAGAAATAATTCTAATATTCTGATTTATAAGTATTGGAAACAGTTTTTCTGCTTAATATTTTTTTGGAATCTGTGATACTTTTTTCAGGATTTTTTGACTTGAAGAGACTTTTTAAAGAAACATTACAAATCTTACTGATCCCAAACTTTTGAACAGCAGTGTATATGTGTGTATATATATATATATATATATATATACTTTTTTTGTTTGTTCTGTAGACAGGCACTGACCCGGCATGCAGTCTAGATAGGGGCTGCGTGTGGATGGCGTGGTGCTGATGGAGGTCCAGGAGGCTGGAGCTCCGGTGGGTCGCGCCTCCTGACAGTCACAGCTGCAGCCCGTCGGTGTTTGATTCTCCGCCACTTCCTTCACACTCACATCGTCCTCATCTTCATAAGGCCACGGCTTCTCTAACTCCTGACACACACGTGCATGTATAGTTGTCACACACACCGTCATATGTAACACACACACACACACACACACACACACATTCATTCATACTCACCCCCTGTGAGTTTACGCCAATGAAAACTGGGACACAGATCAGAGAGATACAGGTCATTATTAAAGATACAGAATCTATCTATCCCAGTACAATCAAAAATACAATTTATTTGGCCAAAATATATATGCTAAATATGTGTTATAAACCGTGAAACTCAATGAAATATGCTTTTGAAATTGAAAATATATTTAGTTTCAATGTTCATATGTACTTCAGGAGCAAGAAAATACTTTTCTAATCTTACAGCAGCCTACATATAAGCTATATCTAAATGTTGACAAAATAGATCTAAACTCGATTTGTAATTTAATAATGCTTAATTTTTAAATATTGCAATCTTGTATTTTTTTAATATTGCAAGTATTTTTCTCGCTGAATTTTGATAAATTAAGTTCTTTAAATGTGACATAGGAACATGTTTTCTTGGCTTGAAACAAATATATTTTTAAATGCTTTTAAAGTATGTTTAGATTTTTTAAATATATTGGTAGAAAATATATTTGCACACACACACATATAAATAGTAGTGCTGTCAAATCGATTAATCGCGATTAATCGCATACAGAATAAAAGTTTGTGTTTACATAAATTACGTATATATAAAATATACGCACCATGCATATATTTAATAAATATTTGTAATTTATATTTATATATTATATAAATCGTATATAAATATGAATATAAATATGTATAAATACACATAGATATTTCTTAATTATATACATGTATGTGTATGTATATTGTATATATAAATATACACATATTATGTAACACACACACACACACACAAACTTTTATTCTGGATGCAATTAATCGCGATTAATCGATTTGTCAGCACTACTATATATATATAGGCATATTTTGAAATGCATTTCAAATCAAAGAAACATTGACAGCCAATCAGAATCCACTCAACAGCTCGAGCATTTAAAGCGAAAGGCCAAACTACAGTGAGCTTAGAATAAGCAAAATCGGTTGTCGGTGTAAACAGGCCTTTAAAATGATTAAAGTAAAGCTCATGAGTCCTGAATTAAATTTTCCATAAATGAATCTGCACACTTTTATTTCAACCATTTATCCTTTTACTGCTAGATATAAAGAACATCTGCTAGACTCCAAATACATAACTGTTAAGTTACTGTACTGGAAACACACAGATGGCGTGTCCAGCTCTCATATCACACACACTTTGTACCTTGAGTCAGCAGCAGCAGAAACACGCTGAGGATCTTCGTGTCCATCTTGAAGAGCAGATCTAGTGTGTTATGAACGGCAGCGTTCAGTGTGCTCTGGATTACTGTAATCCATACATCCAATAATAGTCCTGATCTGTCTATGCCTGGCTTCTCTCTGTTCATTGCTCACTCGGATCTCAGGAAACTTCACTGAGTTCTCGGTTGGGTTTCATTGAAGAAGCCACTTTTTAATCTACAACTGCTTAAACCGCCATATGTCATTTTTGACAATGGAAACGAGGCTGAGGGACTGAACTACAGAGCGTTCAGTGGATTGTACTGTTGTTGAACGACACACCGATTGTTCAGCTGATGAACTTTCAGTAGACAGTTTAAAAAGTTGTGGGTTGGGGGGAATTATATGATCCAGGATCTTTATACAGTGTGTGTGCCATTGTAAAGACTGTTACCATGTATCTATAAATATATGTAGCCATATGTCTATAAATCCAAATATAAACTGCACAATGGAAATTGAGTTTATCAAATGCAACTATATGAATATGTATTAATAATCGGCCTTTTATAGTTATAGCCTATATGCAATTCTCAAACCTTAACACACCCTGAGAAATGGTACCTTGAATCAAGAATCATGGATCATTGAATCAAGTTTAATATAGTCATTCATACCGACAAAATTAATTTTAATGCATTAAATCAGTAGAAAAATAAGTGAAGTAAGTGCAGGATACCACTTTTTACAGTGTAGGCCAGTCCTTACAAAATAAAAGCATTGCTTTTACAAAAAAATTATAATAATAAAAAAAACACCTAGAAAGAAAAATAACAAAGATTATTTATATATATATATATGTGTGTGTGTGTGTGTGCAAAACAAAAAAATGCATGTGCCTAATTTGAGAACTAATTTTTTTACTAAAAAAAAATTTGAAAGAAAAACTAGATTTTTGAACTAGAACTAATTTGGTGAACAAATAAACGCAAGATTGCCCTAAAAGCTATTCGTTTATTATGAAAACTATGATTTATCATCCCAGTGTCACTGTGATTGTACCTTTGGTTTGTGTGAAGGTCTTAATTAGAGAAATAAGGTTTAATTAAGACTGAAATGTTTCACCTGTGCTGAGATGAGCTGAGACAATAAATAGTGTTCAGACGCTCGTTTAACAGCTCAGGTATCGTGAGTAGTGTTGGAGTAACTAGTTACATGTAACTGGATTACATAGGCCTAATTAAATTACGAAATGTAAGCGCAATCAGTTACTGAGAATAAAATGTGTAATTAAATTGGTTATTTATGAAATTTTTCACACACCCACGTACAGATTGAATTGATTTCCTTCATAAATTGCAGTGACTGCTCTAAAATGAGACGCTAATGTCTCAGGAGTTTAGTACACAGAGAATAGGACACATGCTTATTCGATAACTGATTTATTTCCTATTTGGGTTTGTGTATGTGCTTTTTTTTTTTTTTCCCGAAAGGAGTGCTTTTTCTTTTGGTCTTTAATTAACATTAATGTAACGGACAGCAAACTGCTCTTTCAGATCAAATCTACGGATCTGACACATGCATCAGATTATCTCAGTTTACGTTAATTTAAAACTTTTAGATAACTGATTTATTTCCTATTTGGGTTTGTGTATGTGCTTTTTTTCCCCCCCAAAGGATTGTTAGATGCCAGTGTTTCTTATAATAGCTATGCCAAAATTTGATTTCAAATTAAAATTTATGATTTTAAATCTGTATTTAACCTCTCAAAGTAAAAAGAGCTGCTAAAGTCTGGTTCTGTGGTGGTTCTGTGGTGGCTCATAGGGGCGCAATTCTGATATGACTGGTGGGGGGGGGGGGTTTATGAAATGGTAAACCTCACATTTCAGTCTTTAACTAATTTTTAAGAAAAGGTCAAATCATAAATTCTAGGCATTTCATCTGCTCCATAAACAGTTCTACATAGGCTGCACTTTATCCAAAGTGTTGAGATTTTTAGAATGCATATTAGCATGTTTTCAATCTACCAGTTAAGATTTACAACAAAAAATCGATCCGATTTTCGCATTGGTCTGAACAAAAAAAAAAAAGTCAGACCGGCTGAATGAAACTATAACAGCAGAAATAGAGCGGTTTCCCCGGTAACTGCTGTAAGCAAAGCAGCGCTGCGCTTATAAACACTTCTGTAGGCATTACACGGAGAGAAGATAAAAAACAAATCATGCCATCGAAACTTTTCATCAAGACAGTTGGCTCCCGCTTATGCATTCAGAGAATTAATTTAAGCATGCATTCTTTAATTTAATTTCTTTCAGCACTCCTTCCTTCATGTTTTCACACAAAATGAAACCTACGTTGCCTGTTGCGCCTGCATGAGACGGACTGTTCATTTTGCTAAATGCTGAGCAGTATTTATAACGAGTTTTTCCACATATTTATAAATGAATCCTTATTAAAGATGAAGCTATTCAGTGAAGAGCAGGTTTGAGCGGAGTGCTTTTTCTTTTGGTCTTTAATTAACATTAATGTAACGGACAACAAACTGCTCTTTCAGATCAAATCTACGGATCTGACACATGCATCAGATTATCTCAGTTTACGTTAATTTAAAACTTTTTATTTTAACTTAGACCGTGCTTATACAAGGACATTTGCCAAAACGGGCATTTTGACTCTATTTTAATTGTATTGGGCCTTTCAAGCGCGGTAAGATGAAAAGTGAACTTATTTTGTAATGGTGCGCTGTCTGAGAAGCGGCTCTCTGTGTGCGCATGCGCCTACAGAAAACAGCGCTCGAGTACCGAATTTGTTCTCTTTCGTGATTTCTTGCGCCTGAACGGTTTAAAATCGTTTGAATGCTTGCTGGCAAGACTAAAAACGCATGCAAATGAATGATGAACTTTCATGACGAGTCAAAAATAAAGCATTAAGCTGAAGGGGGAAATTAGCAAAAAAGTTGGGGGGGGGGACATGACCCCCCCCGGGAATGGCGCTTTAAAATTAAATGATGATAATCTTCGAGTGATGGATTTTGGAAGTCTGACAGTAATGAGTGTTGAATACTGTAAGGTTAACCCTGCCTGCTTTAAATATTTCAAAGTTATTAAGTTGAAAACATTTGTTAGAAATTAAAAAAAGTAATCCATTACATTACTTTAAAGTAACTGAAATAGTTACACTACGTATTACATTTTAAATAGGGTAACTTGTAATCTCTAACCTATTACATTTTCAAAGTAACCTTCCCAACACTGATCGTGAATGCGTTTTAGCCTACTGTACCTTTCCTTAAACGTAAAGAGAATTTGCTATTAATAACAGTCTGATACTGATGTTTAGAGTTGGCTATGTGTGTGTGTTGAAAATGCATTGCCTACTTTTTATTGTAGACAGCTTATCCTATTTTAACGTTTAGAATAAAGGGATTTTGTTGACGTGCTGGGAGGCCATTACAAATGTCAACTTTGCTTTCCTCTCAAAATAAAATTTTAGATTGAAATTGTTGTCAGAAGATTGAAAAACTGTTTACGGACACGATTAAACTCCCATGCCAGCAGCGTTTGCTAGTATTTTTTTGTAGTTTAATAGCAGTGCAATATATGTTATACATGTACATTTTAATTAAATTTCAACGAAGCTTCTTGTTTATGCTCAAATCATTTTGTCCAACAGATATTGCAATTAATAAATTGTAAGCGTTTCTAACATCTGAAACGCGCGTGACAACTTGCCCCGACCTGACATTTCAACATTGCCAAATGTAGAATTGAAGCTTCCAGTGCGCACAAACAAATTCAACACGACACAATAATAATAATGCAATTGAAGAATGAAATGCATTTTTAAAAAATATATATAAAATCAGCATATTTATGTGAAAGTAGCCTATTATATAGTTAGGCCTATTTCTTAATTTTCCAAATAATTTGGTTTCGAAAACATCAGTCTGATAAACCATTTCTGTAATTGACTCAACTTTGTAGTTATCTATCATTGTATATATTTAGTACATTGTTTGTGTTAATACAATGCATAATTATATGATTGAGGTGTTGTTGATCACAAAAACAACTAGGCCTTAATTAGCCAAAGGTTTTTACCAGATGCAGAAAAAACAAACGCTTTTAAAAGTGACACTGAATGTGATCCTGTAATGTTTACACCCTTTAAATCTTCTGATCATCATTAGTTCCAGCAACTCCGACGGGAGGGGTGACTGGCGCACGTATCATCCAATCAACTGCCTGCGCTCCTGAGTGGGCGGGAATAACGGTCTTCTTTCCACCAATGAAAACTCTCCGAGCGAACCCTCCGTCCAATGAGTAACGAGCCGTCAGCTGAGTCTGTTTAGCATCTATTGCACGCAAGACTCGAGCTGAGACAGACGCGAATCACTGTGAATTCATCCTCATTTACAAACTGACCTCTTCAGAAAGGTACGTATTGCGCGGTTTCATCACTTTCCTTTCCGAAAAGGGTTGCACACGCCCCGCGTGACTCAGAAGTGTAAATAGCAGCGTGCATTGGAGATCACATGCTTATTAGTTTAGGCAAACGCGTTAATTACCTTTGCAATCAAATGTGTAAAGCGCAAAATCTGCTCTGAAGTTTTGTGCATGATGGTAATATCTCAATCAGTAAAGCCCGACCCTGTGCAAATTAATTCTAATCTGTACGACATATGCATGTTTACAGTATAATTGTGATGATAACAATAATAATGTAACGATAAAGTATGTAATTAAATGTAAAAATGTACATGTAACGAGTTTGGTTATAATGATAATCTATATATCATTATATTATCCGTATGACACGCATTTTTACAGTATATAATAATAATTATTATTATTACAACAACAACAATAATGATTATAATAGTAATTATACGTGTAATATTAATAATAAATATATTAAAAGTAAAAATAGTAATTTTGTGCTATTATATAAACATTAACATGTGAAAAATACAGCTCTAACTCTCTCTCTCTCTCTCTCTCTCTCTCTCTCTATATATGTGTGTGTGTGTGCACCTTTTCATATGTTTTTTTATGCATGCATTGAGTTTATTATCATAATTTGTATTTTTTCCTTTTTCATTTAGTTTGAAAGTTTAGCAATATTAATGTGTGTTTTTGTCATTGTATTAGTTTGGGTTGTTTAAGTATGTCTATATAGTTGTAT